GCGTGTGTTGACAATCACTCCCGTGATTATTTGGAGAGGCTCCCGCGGGTGCCCGAGTAGTGACGTCGCCTGTCGATGAATCGACAATAGTGACATCGATAAAATTGTTACGCCCTAAAAAATTTGTTATCATATATGAAACAATATGTGTATTTCTATGGTAGAACCGATGGGGATCTTATTTTGGATTTAAAATAATGCTACTTGAAAGCATTGTCTTAATTCAATGCAATTATATTCCGCCCTATTACAGAATTTTTAGATGATCGATTGGGTCATTGTAAGTTTTGATTTTTTAACAGATACTTCACTTGGTATCTGATCGATAAACCAGGTCTCATTAGATTGCGTCCTGGTATTAGTATAGTGTTTATTAAGTAAGTAAATGATCTTAATTACATTCAAAATAATAAACACTTCAAGATTCAAAAGAAATTTAATTCGATACTTATATCGTATAGATAAACAACCTGCTGCACCTTCCCCTCTCTATCAGCATCTCCCTACAAGGCTTGTTTAGATTTTTACGCAAACACCGGGCCCATCTTTCTAATTGCCTTAATTAAAAGCACCAATCGAGATAGCGAAATATCTACACTGACTGTTGCTACCGCGAGAAAAAGCTCGGAAAGAGCCAACATGCCGTTGCTAGCGCTTCCGCTGTATGTATTTTGTACATTTTTATTTACGTAATCATTCGTAATGTTGAACTATTTATTCATGACTGACGATGGGTTTGCACGCCTGAAATTTATTTTAACGCAATAACATTGCATAAGTCACTCAGGCGGAAATAATGTAGGTGACCCAAACAAACATTGTTTAAAATCAGTTTAGAATTTTCAGACATCATCTTTTAGTGTTAATTTAGTGGGCTGAGGAGCTTTTGCAGTTTGAATACTTTGCAAATTTAGTGTCACGGTATCAATTTCGTTGCTATTCGCGACGTGTTCCCGCCTTGTTCATTTCGGCTGTCCGTCGTAGTTTGGCAACGCGTAACACGATTTTCATCAATCCTACATCAAACTATGCGTCCGTGAACCTCGTCTGTATGATGAAGTGGATTTGATTTCGATTGTCCGTGCTCCGCCGCGCCGTTGTTTTGTATTTTGACTACTTTGTTCGTTTTGTGAATGACTAGCGTATTCAACGGTTCAACGGCCAAACTGCTAGTGACTCAAGTATCTAAATAAGGCTTTACAATTATATATATTTTTTAACTGCTTGATGTTTAAATCTAAGGAAAGTTTTACGAGAAAAAGAAGTTGTGGGTTTCCTACAATGCGATGGCGTTGCCTTGCAGCCTAAGAAATACTAGAGAAAATTGGAAGCGGCTAATTAGGGTAGCGGTAGCATAATGGTCAGTGCATCCGTCTGGATAGCGGAGGTCGCTGGTTTGAGTCCCGTCTGCTACCGTCTGGTCCGCGTGTATTTTTTTCTAGTATAATATTCTTGAGGCTTTAGACTCAGATTTTTTTTTGAATTTTGGGCAAGTATCATACGTACAAATTGATACCGTTTAGGTAAGCAGTAAGTCGATGCCGCGTCTAGTATTCTGGTCGGCACTAGAATGCCACAAAACAATTCTTCTTTCTTTTCTTCTTATGAAATATTAATAATTTTTATCATAATTAATATTAATCATTATGCTTTAGTCGGTGACAAAACACTCGTTTATACAATAATGTAGGTAACGCATAAAATTTATTCGGGATAATTCGCGAGGGGATAATTCCGGCGCATTGTTTACTTACGGGGCCCAGGATGCAGCCCCCCCCCCCCCCCCCCCCTCCTTCACCCTGCAGCCCACCTCGGCCCCTGCAATCACCACGCCGCGTATTAATTAGCCAAATTTTAATGATCCCCAAATAACATTCAACCGTAAAGCCGCATCGGGATTTTCGGTTTTCAATAACCTTTTTTAGGTACTAGCTAGTTGTACAGATTGTGTTATGGGGAATTTCGTTTTGAATACCTGATATTTTTTTGGGCGGTAAATACAGATAGCCACAGTTTAAGTTACCCTAAGCTGTCAAACTATTCCAACGGTTTTTTAAGATTTATCGTATTGTGCTGACATTATACATATGTACTAAATAATGCAGTCACGGGAATATATTTTTAGAAACCTGTGGGCAACTTGTATAACTTAGCCCCTTCATACACGGGTCGTAAGTAGGCTTGCCAGGTGGCCGGAAAATCTGGGATTGTTCCGGATTTTTGCGTCTGCTCTGCCCTGTGAGTGCGGGTGGCTCGCGGAATGGAAGAGCGATAGTTTATTTCGAAGAGAGGGTTTTAATTCTGGAGCAAATGCCCAGGAATTGATCGGCAGAAGCCATGTAAAGGCATTCGTTACTGACCTATATTTTGATTTCATGTTTTAATTCAAGGCGCGTACTTAGATGTGATCTAAGGAATCTTACCTTTTCGCCATCCACTTCAAAGCTAAAGAAAAATATCTATTTATTTATTTATTTTATTTATTTATTTATATCACATTGCTCATGTACATTATTTATTATAAGGTCTTATATATACTTAATAGTGAGTGGTACATGACTCCGTTGGGGTGCTGCAACAAACTTGAGCTTAACATTAAATACATTATTTTCACTTAATTGCTGGTCATATCAAATCACATCAGGTCCAACCAAATTTAAACAAAATCAATCCATTTTAAAAATTAATCAAGTCAATTTATATCATATCATGTCATCATAATCATATCATATCATATCAAGTTAAATCACATTATATCAAATTAATAGGTCAAACATAATTAAGTTAAACTAAATCAAATCAAACAAACAGGTCAAGCATAATTAAGTTAAATTAAATTACATTTATTTTTCATTCATAAATTCATCAACAGAATAATACGCTTTTTTTATAAGATGCTGTTTCAATTTATTCTTAAATATGTTTATATTAGATTCTGTTTTAATATCAATTTGGGGCCATCCATAAATTACGTCACACTTTAAGGGGTAGGGAGGGGGTCGACGAAATGTGACATCGTGTGACAGGGGTGGGAGGGGTCCTAAATTTCGTGACGTCACATTTCAAAATATATTAAAATCTAAGTGTTGAAACTATTACTTTACGAAAGCATTAACAACCCAAACGAGAACAAAGTGGTGCTATGCCAGTTATAAATAATTTAAAGGAGTGGGATCAATGTCCATGGCCTCAAGATTATTAGTTTGTATCTTTAATTTAACTATAATGCTATTAATATTTTACGTTTTGTTAATTTCTTTAATTAACATAGTCAATCACTTTTTGTTCGGTAATTTCTTTAATAAATATAATTAATCGTTTTTTTTTGTTTTGTTAATTGTTTGATGTGATTATAATAATAATGAAAAAACAATTTAAATGGAAATAAAACTGATTACAGAACCGCTGTTTTCATTCAATGATTTCTAAATGTAAATTTGCAAAATATGTGACGTCACACTAGGGAGGGGGGGAGTCTTACAAATGTGACCAGCTGTGACAAGGACGGGGGGAGGGGCAAAAAAGACATGAAATTCGTGTGACGTAATTTATGGATGACCCCTTTGACATAACTTATTTCTTTTCCAAGTAAGAAACGAAAGGGAGAAATTTAAGGAAAGTAGGTTACAAAATTAAGCCTTTGACTCGCATAGATCGATCCTAGCATCATCCTCCGCATAGTACTATTTTCCCGCGAGTGGTCTGGTTGGTTAGCGCTAATAAGCCCGTCGAATCACGCTAACTTTGTTTACCGGCATGGCACCCGCCGGAGTAATTGGCGCTGAGCTTCAACTACCTGCTGTCAGTTTAACACGGCTTTAGAAATTATTGAATTTTATATTTAAATGCTTAAATAAATAAAACTATAATATAACTATTATTTCAAACGTTTAAAGTACAAGTACAGCTTAAGAAATACTAGAGAAATTTCTACACGGCCATCAGGGCCGCGTTAGCATAATGGTCAGTGCATTTGCCCGGATAGCGAAGGGTGTGGGTCCGAGTCCCGTCTCCTGCCTGGTCCGCATGGAATTTTTTCTATGTAGTAAATACACTGAAATTGGCAAGTTATAAGATTTGTTACCAAAACTTACTATCTTGAGCTCCATTCGTACTTCCTAAGGCATTTAAAGGCACCAGGTCCTGATTGTATTTGCATTTGCTAGCACCCACCAACCTACTTCGATTCCGTGTGTCGGTTATGGCACATTTCATTTCATCATTTCATGATTATAGCAAAACTAATCTTGTTACCAGGACGGAGCCAATCCGTACGCCGCCACTGATACCGTCGCCGCTATCTTAGCTACTTAAATATTTCATAATTCCATTTCGAACTCTTTTATGCCCTGAAAAGTACGATAAAATTTATCTAATTGAGATGGCCTGTGTCCCAGCATTAAGGACATTAATAGGCTGATAATGATAACCTTACATTGAATTACCCTTAATGTGGTGTTAAATAACAATCACAGCAATCTAAAGAAAATTTTACTTGAAAAAATTCCACGCGGGCCAGGAAGCAGACGAGACTCGAACCCCCCGCTATCCGGGCGGATGCATTGACCAATTATGCTACAACGACCATAATGGCCGAATTTATTCTAGTATTTATTAGGCTGCAAGGCAGCGCTATTAGTTCGCATTGTAGGTAACAATTGCAACAGTTTTTTTCTTTAACGAAAAAATATAAACTGAATGCGACTCTATGGTAATAGATTAAGGATACTATGGTATAGGTCGTCCTTGGTCGGGAATTCCCCATTTAATGTTGCGCTACGACAGAATGCGCTATGACAGAACGTGGGTACTTATTTACTAAACCAAAATGGTACGCACCACTCGTACGTACGTATTCTACAAATTTTATTAAATTGTAGCTGTGTCTAGATCTAGCTATAAAGTTGCTAAGTTGGCATCACTGGCCAAAGTTTACTATTTAACATTTTAATGAAGAAATAAAAATTGTAGTTTATCATATTTTTTCGTTTTCTCATTAGGACGGAGCTGATCCGTACGCCGCCTTTGATCCCGTCGCCGCCGCCGGCGTCATCGGCGCCCGGCGGCGGGGCCAGCAGCGACCCGGTGCCGACCACGCCGCCGCCGCTCGAGCTCACGCCGGACACGCCGCTACCGCCGCTGCCACCCATGCCGCCCCCCAGTGGGGACGCCGGGCCTGGAGGCACTGTGAGTTTACTTCTATTTTTATATTGTTTTAAAGTTTCATGGTCACTAACATTATAGTTGGACTTTTTGGCGGGATCTGGAAGCGTCACTTTAGCAGTTTTGTTTTTCTGTTTTGTTAAAAATTGTGTTGTGGCGGATGTTAGTGTCTAATAATGGTGGATTTAACCACTAAGTGTTTGGGAACATGTGTTGGCAAGTGAAACTAAATAGCGGAAAGTGTCTTTCGACGTTCCCTCAAGAAGTCCACGGGGAGGTTCCAGTAAATCCCCACACATTTACTGAAACATAGGTAAAGGGGGATTGACTTGACTGCCACTTACTTTGACTTGATTTATTAATTTGACCACGAGTGCTATAGATTTTCTAAACATTTTAACACTTGGCATATTGGCTAAATGCATAAGCCGTGCGAAGCCATTTAAAAAAAAAATTATAGTTATGTACCATGGATCTTGTTTTTTGTGAGTCTCCGATATTTCGTCAGTGTCGCAAGCGCCATGATTACGGAGTAACTGAAGTAATTGCGGGTAGGACGTTATTGATAGAGATACGATACGGTACTCTCCGACGAAGTCTATTTCATTCGATTATTTTTTTATTTTTACACAATCAAGCGTACTGGCAATCCACCTGATGGTAAGTGGTCACTGCCACACACACATGGACACTTGCAGCACCAAGGCTAGGCCAGCTGACGCTGGGCTTTTTACAAACTAGCCTTAGTCTCTAGAAAAGCCCTTTGAAATCTCTTTGGGTCGTGGCGTCTATATTTAAATTTAGTTTTTGATTACTACGTGGATTTTCATAACGAAGTAGTTTGTTATTAGTCCATAATTAAGATTTGATTTGATTTAACAAAGGAATACAAATTTTATAATTTGAAGACTGCTTAATTGTACTTAGTATTAGCATCTTTAACAAATTAGTATGAATTTGTACACTATGTTTGCAATAAAGGTTCGATTTGATCATTTAATTTTGATCCATATGTCAAAGAAAGGCAGAGTTTATACCTTCCAGGGGGCCATTCGCCTAACGGAAATGCTTTGGAAAACGCTAACGCTTTCGATTTCATTTTGTTATTTCTAGCCGCCTGAGGTTTTCAAATGCCTCGCGCTTTTTTTTTTCTTTTGCATTGGTAATAACAATATTAAACAAAACGAGCTTGAGGTATTTGAAAACCTTCGGCGGTCAGAAAAAACAAAATGAAATCGAAAGCGTTAGCTTTTTCCTAAGCATTTCAGTTAGGCGAATAGTCCCCTGGTGGCTGCTGAACTGTAATCTGCAACAGGATCTAATCATCGAATCACGTGTTTGTTATTGCTTAAAGAAATCAGTGCAGTGATAACATCACGTACCTTTATGTTTTTAATTTTTAAGCATTTAACTGCTAGATGTTTCAATCAATTATTGGTCAGTGCATTCGCCCGAATAGGGAAGGGTGCGGGTTCGAGTCCCGTCTGCTGCCTGGTCCGCGTGGATTTTTTTTCTTGTAAAATTTATATGACATATTATGTCTAGGCATCTCCGTCGAGCGTGGCATCTCCCCTCCCCCCGGGCGGCAGTACGACGATGGTGCCGTCAGCGGTGGCATCCATACCCACGCCGCCCACGCCCACGCAGCCGCCCACGCCAACACAGCCGCCCACGCCGGAGACAGGTCAGTCATCAAAATCAAAAATCATTTATTCAGGTCTAGGCTGTTATTACAAGCACTTGTGAAGGTCAAGAAGCTAAGCCATCGGTTCGCAAAACTACGGCGGGAGACCTTGTACTGAGAAGAACCGGCAAGAAACTCAGCAAGGGCTGGTTTTTTCTCCCTGTATTGTTCATCATTATCATCATCGTCATCAGCCTATTAATGTCCCCACTGCTGGGGCACAGGCCTTCCCTATGGATGGAAGAGAGAGATTGGTGGGTCCTAACGACTGCAAATGTAGCCGGGACCATAGGCTTAACGTGCCTTCCGAATCACGGAGCTCGAGATAGAAAATTGTTGGTCACCCATCTGATGACCGACCATTGTGAAAGTTGCTTAACTTTCACGATCGCAGGCCGAATGCGCTAACCACCTGCACCATTGAGCTCCTCAGTTTTCAAGGTTAGTCATACTACCTAATAATTCGCAGGGTCTCAGAGGATGGACTGATGTCTTTTGCCAATATGCCTAGTCCGTGTTGTGCCAGTCAACTTTACCTGATGATTCGCATAGTCTCACCTGTTAGATTAATTTCTATGTGTGCGTGTTTTCAAAGCCGATCGCGTTTAACATCCGTTTCCAGAGAGTATATAGTAGAGAGTATAAATAGGTGCGTCCTAAGATTTATAATAATATAATTATACTATAATGATGCGCTGATTTATTTATTTATTGACGTTTCGCATTCTTTTCAGGATGCGTCGTTTGAATTATAATAATTCTGACGACCGATGAAACTTGTTTTATTAAATGATTGGTGTGCGTTTTCACGCACACCTGAGAAAAAAAAACATTATTTAAAAACTGCTAAAAAAAGGAAAGAGTTCACAATTCGTCAGTTAAATAAGTCTTTTATTGTGATATTATTTTGTTTGAATTAGTTTTGTTCTTTCAATATGTCCGATCTAATTTTGGGAAGATCAAATGATACTTTCGGGATACAAACGGTACATATATTTGATTTTGGTTATTGTATATAACTATATAAAGGATTGAATACTGGCCAGGTACCTATAGGCACTTATTCTTTGCTGATGATGCTTTAATTTAAAAACAGTCAATATAAATATTAAGTGTTTTTTACTATAAAAACAATTGCTCTTGAAAGAGCCACTAATCTTAGATATTCGGGCAAATGCAGGCACTAGCAAAAAAATATTTATGAAAAAAAAAACAATTAAAATCTAGCGGTGACTAAAATACTTAAGTATATTATCTACATTCTTTATAATGACCATCTTGAAATTATCAAGGATCTACTTGTTAACTTCAAGAGATGGAACTCGAGCAATCGCTTCCTAAAATTTACAAACAACAACGTTTATACATTTTAGTATCACTGCCAGCTTGAAGGATATAAGAAGTACTTTTCAACATACGATAATCCAAGATAATTAATATGAAATAACCAGTCAAATTTAATATTAAAAGCTTATTTGTAACTGGAATAAATTTAATGAATTTCCTATCAACTTCAACCGCAAACCGCTGTGAATACGTATTTATTATTTCCACAAAACAATAGTTATAATAGGGATGACGACTAATTTTTTTTCTTCGTTTATCAGGTACATTATCAATAAGTATTAGACACGTATTTCTTTTTTCACATAATATAAACATTGAGGAGATATATTGATTTGAAAAGTCGCATGACGTCACGCTTTGTTACAATTTTCACTTAAAAGTGACGTTACGAGCCCCTACTCCCAAACTTTAACGCGCTTTATCTCATCATTTTCTGGTTGATTGCCCAAAAAAAATACGTGTCCATTATTTTTTCATCATTTAACTGACGGACTAAATATAATTTCGTTTACTGTACCCCGTCGTCACCCCTATTAGATTTATTAAAAAAACACCGCACCATGCGTAAATTAATTTCACTATAATTCAAACAATATTCGATTTTAAATACCGATTAATAAACTATATTTTAGGTATTCCATTGTGTCTGTTAACATTTCGCAAAAATTCTATCTTTTGCATCCTCGCCTGTACAGATTTCACTATTCGAACTCGTTTGAAAAGTTTTACCGTTATAATAATAAAAGGGTTCAAATTCAAGTTTTTAAATAAATAAATCACACCACCTTTTAGTTATTTAACATTTATTTTAACAAATATACAATGACGCAACTTAACCGTTGTCACTTCACGAATAAGCTCGTCCGAGATATCACTGTTATAATACTGATATGTTTCACTGTACTCCTTGACGCGTTCACACCGAAGCCTTGGAGGTCGAGGGTTGAGGTTGGGGTTCGGGTGAAGTCTCCGCCGGCTCGTCGGCGTGGCACCTCTTGCGGTGCTTATGGACGAAGTAGTACGAAGGGAACTTGGAACCGCAAGTCTTGCAAGGGTAATAGTGCAGGGTGGTCTTTTGGGTTTTCCTGGGCCGACACCAGTTGCGGTCTGAAGTGTCGCGATATGCAACGTTTAGCACGCGGCTGAAGCGGACTGGTCCGTCGCAGGAGGCGATGTCTAGGACAGCGTTGGAATTTTGCCTCGGAGGGTCAGGGGCTTCGACTCTTTCCACGTCTAACTCGCTGGATATTGTTGATTCTGGTGATGGTGGAGGCGGTGATTCTGGTGGAGGTGGTGTTTGTGGTTTGGCCCGGCGCGGGACGGGGCGGTGGGCCCCGGGCGGGGGCGCGGGCCGCGTCACGCAGGGCCCCGGGCCCAGCCACGCGCGGTACAGGGACAACATGCCCGCGCCGCGCTTGACAGCCGACTGTGCCGCGAGATAAGTCTGCCCTAGCTTATATACGCGCCGCTCAGTCTGTGTTTGAAGTGATGGAATAAGGGCTGTTGATTTTAAAATAACATTAAATCTTATTAAAAGTTTTTAAAAAAAACGTAAACTTGGATTTTAATATTCAATATCAACTTAATATGATACGGCTAGATACGTAGTTGAAGTTAGCCAGATCTCATTATGTCTTTTATGACTTTAAGAATTAGAGGCTAGCTCCTTTAAAATTAAACAATAACAACGAATAGAGGCCCTTAAGAAAAAGACCGTACAAGACTGAAAACTTAAATTTCAGGGTTTGTTAAAGTAAAACAAAAACGTCTTTTTTGTTTGGTCCCCTTTATTCGAAGAGAAATACACATTTTGTGCCAATTTTAGCTGTCTACCTTAAACGGTTTTTTTGGGTATACAACCCGCTGATTTACGAACGGATGGATAGACGGCCGAGCAGTAGAGGCTTATCATTAGAGTTTCTTTGTTACTCTTTGTATACGTAAACCTAAAAATGATAAAACCTAACCCACAGTACCCCAAAGTTCTATACTTTATTCATAATTACGTAAAGCACACTAACAGGGGAGCGTGTCTCAAAAATGAGATGTCCCATAAATGATTCATGGACCGCGATGTCCCGGTTGCGCTGTGTTGATCGTCAGCAAACACTTAATTCTCTTAGCGGTCTCCCCGGGTTAGGTAGACAACTTGCGAGATGTTTACCGCCACGACAGTGGATACGCCGCTGACGAGATTTTTTTAAGTTATTATTCAAAAATAGAAAAATCTTTTTTTTAATTATTCTTTTATTCACATATGAAATGATGTAAAAATTTAGGTAAGTAATATAAAAATAAATGCGTTATTTATTTTAAATTACGGCAACACTGAAAAAAATAATTCACAAAATTAGTTGATTTATCCGATAAAGACTTTGTTTTCTAATAAATAATTTTCAGTCACTCATAGACCAACTGTTCTGTTGCATTTTACATTATCATATCAGTTAATCGAGTTAAGTTAAAAACTATTAAATCGTATTGTTATGAGCTCTCAAATTCAATTTCGATAATCTATAGCATAGTTAGTTAGTTCTTCAGGGCGGTTTCCGCACATAGTCCTAATTATTGGACCATTGTGCGTGAATCTGTAATATAACAATCTATTGTTATAACCAAACACACTTGAGGTGACTATTCATTTACATAGAGTTGGCCTAACTGTAACTATTTTGTGCTATTTATCAGCAAGCACAAAAACCGCTATGAATAACTGAAAACTGATGTAATTGTTAGACTAAAAGTTCGTTTACAGATTGTAAGTACGTGTTTTGTTAAATGTTCGGTACATCCGCAGTATCGTGCTATAGAGACTATTTTTATTATATATGGTAAGTTTATATAATTTGTATTTAAAATAAATTAGTAACCAGGGTATTATGATTGTATTACTTGTTGGTTAATAGTACTTACAGGGTTTTAAAGCAGAAAAGTACTTTTGCAAGTTAGATAATAATAAACAGCTATAATTCATCAGAAAATTATGTTTCTGATAACAAAATAGTTCGGTTACAAATAACAGTATAGTGCAGCTAAACTGAAGCAATCATTTTATAGTCAATTATTGAACAAGTGTAAGAATTAACAAAACAGTTTTGTAAATTTGTAAACTGTTTTGTTATAACAACAAAACTATTTTAACAAAACCGAGTTTATCTACTCGTATCTATAACTATGTAGTCACTAGTTTTATGTAATAGGTAACAAAACTTTTGTTATAAGTAACTCAAAACTTTTTTCAGTGGATGGTCCAAAAAGTCCATTTAATGATCGTAATGCTCTTTTAGACTAAAATAAAATCGATCATGTCATAACAAACACGCAATTCTTTCTGTAAATAAGAAATAAATGAATTATTAAACATTTGATTAACATTTCTTGGTAAAACAAAATAAAAAGAAATTGTTCAAACAATCACACAAGTTCCAATCCAATATTTGCTCCGAGTCGAGCGAAAAAAAACATATCGAGCGCACAAAATGCGAAAACAAACAATAATCTCTCGATACAATTAATTTCTACTTGAAGTTAATTTAATGGTAACAGTTCCCGGAAACACGAAAGACATTCAATACTTACAACGTTCGTTTGTACTCTAAACAAATAACTTTTGAAGTTTTTTTAACGAACGGTAGCTAGGTAGGTATGCCCCG